AATCTGGGTTATAGAAACAAGTTAAAGATGTTTCTCTCTGATAGATAAGTTGAAAAAAAATTACCGAGAGAGAAAAAAGCTTTATTTTTAGTGTCACTTGCGGCATGAAACATTAATATAATGCACGTAAGATAATTTTTTTACCAATCTGATGAAATACATTATAAAATATTGAACGAACAACTTCAATAAATTAAACCAAGAACTTCAAGTCTTGGATTAAACCAGTCCGACTTCTTCCACTATTAGTTCATTAATTTTCACACGTTATTGAAATTTGGAGTATTTTTTATACTAATGAAGTACAAGCAATATATCGAGATTAAAGCTCGAAAGATTGTTAATGCATTGAATAAAATTGTTTTCAGTTTTAATTTGGCAGTTTTAATTATGTAGTTTATTTGAAAACAACAGTTTTCACGCACGCTCCTGTCAACATACAGCGACGGGCTACTTATTGCCCCAGCCCTTTATAAGGAACGAATAAAACAGGTAGTTTTTAATTTTACCTGGTCACTAACATCCTTTCGGCATTTTTTCTCTCCGTACCTTATGAAAAAAATGACAAGGTTCTACTTTTTATACCATTCGTTTTTTAAAAATGATCCAAAAATATTCATTAGGTCTAAAAGGCCATCAGTATGATTAAAGCAATATGTACAGTTCGAATACAAAGTTCCGATTTCGTACGAGCACCAAAGAAAGGATCATGGAGCAACAAACATCGACAACAACGTTAATTCGTGTATAGTCATTTTACATCATATCCAGAAAAAAAATGACAACTAGTTTTTAGTACAATTAAAACGCATGTGAAAGAACCCGGGACTCTTTCACGTTGTTAAATTCCATGTAATCTCTCGGTTGAAATAAAGAACCCGACGTTTTTTAACGCGCTGCAAAAACAAAATGAATAAATAAATAAAATAAGAAATAATAATAAATTGCCCCCTACCTCCAGAATGTTACGACATGTATTGTTATAGACAGGTGTGAATCAAATTCAAACAGGCTAACTCAACTTTAATGGAAGCTGTGAAGCGCACACGACTATAAATGACAGTTTTTTAAACAAAAATACACAATTACTACACTCTTCTCTCCGAACATGTAAAAACCCTATATCCTTTGATTGACAAGATGCCAATCAAATTCATTAGTTTTGATAGCTGCTGTCAAGTAATAACAGCTTGATTGGCAGGTTATATAAACAAACGTCAATCACAATCATTACGGTGGATCACTATAGTCGTCGAACACGTTTAGTTCAAGCTTCCTACACCCTTTGATTGACAAGGTGCCAATCAAATTCAGCTAGTTTTGATAGTTGCTGTCAAATAATAACACCTTGATTGGCAGGTTATATAAACAAACGTCAATCATCGTGCACTGTGATTTCTCTGTGAAACAGTGAGTACGTCAAAAGAGCGTTTAAATCTGAAGTTAGGATAATTTATTTGCAAAATATTTCAAGAGAATATGTACAACCTGTTTCCAATACTACTTCTCTTTCTGGACCTTCAGCGTGTCTAATACGACACTCTTTATTACAAACTATTTCGTAAAAAGAAAAGAATTTAGCAAAAGAAACCAATTTCAAGTAAAGAAATGTACGTGACATTTGATGTTATTCTGGAGGTAGCGCATAGGCCATTTCAAAATTAATACAACTATATACCCCAGTATATGCGTGGAAGAAGGAAGAATAAATGTTTTTGAATTATGTATAGAATATTGACAGATTATTTTACTGTCAAAGTTTACTTTCTGCAAAATAAATAAATAAATAAATAAAACGATACTAATTCATCTTCATTAAAGGTGACATTCATGTTGCGATTGAGGTAAGTGGTTTAATTGCAGGGCTAAATGTTAGCAAGGACCTGTGATAATGAGTGGATGGGAAACAAAAATATAACTGTAAACAAAAATATTACTGTGAACAACTCTCTAGACATTTACATTTTGTGCGTCGTCCGTTCTTATTTAACAAACAAACCTTGCTCTTGTAACCGAATATATGATGAGTTACATTCCATTCTCCCTCTGTACAAATATGCTATAGAGGAGATTGGATCTAATGGAAACTATATGAATTCTCTCTTGATAGGTATGTGGTATATTGTTTAGTAGTTTACGTACCCCCTTGAATACTGTTACTTCGCTCTTGTAACTATTTTGTTAGTTTATTTTACTGCAGTAAAGCGTGGATGCAATAGTTCACAACGCCCCCCGGGATTACTTGAAGGGGATTCGGAGCGACAGGCCTGCCTCGGGTGTGAAGCCGACCATCGCCCCCTTGGTGTGGGGTTTGGGGCCTGCTGAAGGGCCCCGACAAATAAAAAAATAGTGTTTTGGGGAGCAAACAGTGCCATTTGGTACGGTTTAGAAGTATGATTTAGCTAGTCAAAATTCTAATTTCAAGAGGGGAATATGGGTGTGCTATATTTTTCAGAAACCAAAGGGGAGGGTGGGGGGTTAGGGCCACCTGACCCCCCTCCTCTAAACCCGCCACTGGAAGCGACCGATCTAGGTCTAGGACATGTGTAATCATGCAGATATTTTCTGACTCACGTCTCGCCAGCATGCATAGTTTTCATATTCAGTAACGAAGGTTTGGGTAACGAATTATTGAAAAATAACAACGCTTTTGTACGAAATTAGCACGGTTCTAATGCCAGCAAAAATTAGACTGCGTTAACGGGGTATTACGAGATGCACCTACTGATACGGCGCGTACTCAACTTCAAGTACATTTTTCGCAGTGCCTGCTAACAAAGATTTTGCAAATTACTTCCAAAAAAGAAAGCAGTGTTGCCGTGTTTCGTGTAAAACATTTTAATGATCCCTGTTACCATATTGTCTTGCTATTTATGGACGTACCTGAGTCGACGATTTTTACTGGCTTAAATATTACAATTATACCAAAGATCTAATTTTCATTATAGGAATTAAGTCACGCATTTTTTTTTTTTCATTTTTTAATGACGGGCGACGCCACGAAAGTAGCTGCAAGCTTTTTATTGCGTTATTTGAAATAAACATTCCAGACATTTTCTGAGACGTTAGACAACATACATCTTGGCAAGATGCAACCTTTCTACATTAATAAAATTGACTAAATCTATTGGAGAATGAGAGATGCACTGCTAGCGACAGTAACGAAGGTGTAAAGTGTGGTCCGTTTTTTTTCTTGTTGTGTCAGAACAGATGCATCTAGCAATTATTTTTTTTCGGTAATTTAAGTTGCTTGACTGACTAAAATTCCAATTCTTCTGCTCGCATACTTTTGATAAAATGAAAAGAGTGAGATGGTCTTATCCGGTATAGGCCTATGTTGAGAGTATCACCCCATTCTCATAGATTAGATCGACCTACATTGGATCGACCTAACTCCCTGGGGGTTCACGCTAAATAGCTGTCAGCCGGGCGGACACTAAAGTTAATTACCCCTTACAGATTGTAGTAGGCGGGGACGGACACTTAAGGCGGATTATCTGACAGTAATCTAGTGAGACTCCCCGCGGTGATAGATCGATCTAAAAGTTGTGAGAACAGAGCCTAAGTGTAAATCACGCAGTCGAATGACTCGAGTTATTTTAATGTCCATTCAGAACAGAGGATCCACGGATCTAAGGATTCATGGATCAAATATAAAATTTTAAAAGGGCTTTAATTTGACTTACGTAAGTCCGAGCAACGATTTTCAACTTCATGCCTTCCTGGAGAGAAAAGCAAAACACACCCGTCTGGGGAGGGGCCTGGGTGGGCACTTTGAATTAATTCTAGCACGTTTTGTTTAAGAGCTACCAGCAATCCATATATGTTTGGTGGGTACTAAGTATGCAATCCTTAATCAGTGAAATTTTCAATCATGATATTACTTCAATTCAGAACATCCAAGTCCGTTTTGGGTCCTTAATTGGATAGAATCTTCAAGTGGGGTTTCAAAAATCTATGATCATTAAAGGACAACTACTCATTTTCAAGATTTTTTAAATTTCTTTAATTACTAGTAATATTTAACTTACAAAACATTTATGAATATTCACATAGTAAGCATAAACATATAAAAGGAATGACTTTATCAATATCACATAATGCACTGAAATATCACAGAATATTTCACAGAATGAAATATAGCTAAAACTTATAGAATTTAAAAAGATAAAAACATTATGAGAAAATATATTTTCATTTGAAAATAAACATGCCCTTAAAAAGTACATACAGATGTAAAACAAAACCACTCTTATATAACTATGCAAAAATCATTACTTAAGTCTTGATAGTCATAAAATTACAAGTAACAAAAACATTCTTAACAAAAACAATGAAAACTTTTATAAGGAACACATGTTATTCACAATTTTCAATCATTTCTACTTATTGCAACTGAGATATTAAACACTGTCAACTAACTCACCGGTAACTATATATGTCATAAAAAGACAAGCCATCTTGGTAGAAACAATTGTCTAAGTCACACATATCCATGTACAATCAGATTGAAAAATAGGTCAACCTTCTTGGTACAACAAATGACCTTTATCTAAGTCACACATATCCATGTATTATGTTACATTTAGATGAAAAAATAGGTCAGCCTTCTTGGTACAACTGAAGACATTTATCTAAATCACACATATCCAAGTTATATTTCAATTTTAAATGAAAAGAAGGCCAGCCTTCTTGGTACTACCAATGACATTGATCTAAGTCACAAATGTCTTAAATTAGGAGATTGAAAAATATGTCAGCCTTGACACATATCCATGTCTTAAGTTACAATAAAAAATAGGTCAACCTTATTGGTTCAACCAAAAACATCTTGGTTAGTATGCTGAACTCACCAGAGACAACCATACCAGCTCCAAGCAGCTACACCCATCACAAGGCACACCCATCACAAGCCAACACCCATCACAAGCCACACCAAGCACAAGCCACAGCAGTTAGTGCAAGGCTACCATACTTAACTACAGTTGCTGTTTTTTTTTTTTTTTTTTTTTTTGTTGTTGTTGTTTTGACAAATCTTACTGTTTTGTGCACCTTTTATTTCACTGGACACATGCTTACTAGTAACTTGGGTGTTTAAAAGAATGGGTACAAAAAGAATGGTATGAACAGGATATGATTTGTCAGAATAAAGGGGCTAATCAAAAGAGAGGCGACAGTACCAGTTCTTGCTGCCTCTGGCATGCAAAATGCTGCATGTGTAAGATGGCATGACAACAAGGTTGTGCCCCTTATATTGGCGTATGTTGCAGCTTATTGGCAAAACTTGGCGGTGGAGCAAAAGAGACTGTCAATACATTGATACTGATCGTCCAAGGATCGAAGAAGAGAACAACAAGTTCATGGGGGGCATTGATATGTTGTATATGTGAACTTGTATTGATAGCCCTACAGGTCTTAGAGATGGTATATGCACCTCTTTTTGCATTCAATGACTATGTGTTGTAAAGTTAATGACTTACACTTACACTAATTACAATTGGTAATAAAAGGAAAATCAGAGTGGTATTGAGTGTAAGTTAAGTTTCATCAAGAGTCAACAAATTAAAATAATTAAAATAATTTTTTTGAAAATTTTTAGGAGAAAACAAGGCTCTTAGACATTGCCTAATAAGGGAATGTTCTATGGTAAAGTCAACATGAGGATGGAAAGTTTCTGGAAATCACACCGTAAACAGTGAAAAGAACATAATTACACCTGTGATAAATACGGAGAATAAGAGCGTTGAAAAAATGATTGAGGAATCCAGAACGTTGTCATCGTTAAAATATGTGGTGGAGGAAGAAACCGGTCCTGGCTCTACCGATGCAAAGTGAACAACCGGAGAATTGGAGTCCTCCAGCAGCAAACACAAGAATAGCTGTACAGAAGAAACTATTTGCGTCAGGCGCCGAAGGTAAAACACCTCAAAGACCGGAGAAAACATCAACTTTTTCTCCAGTTATCATGCAGTTACTATTTTTTTAAATATCGTTTTATTTAACTTCTGTATCCACTCTTTTCAATTTTAAAATATTAAGTAATATTTACAGGGTCATTTACAAAATGCTGGAAAACTTAGGAGAATTCAATTAGAGGACAACGAGGGTATAGTCAATGTCAACTTGTGGAATAATGCTGCGACTACTAACATAGAAGTGGGCGACTAGATTGAAACTCATGATGTTAATGTGTCCTACGATAAAGTGATCGGGAAAAATGTGCTCTCTGTCAACAGACCTGACCAACTTGCTTCAATAGCTATTGTGCTCTCTGTCAACAGACCTGACCAACTTGCTTCAATAGCTATTGTGCTCTCTGTCAACAGACCTGACCAACTTGCTTCAATAGCTATTGTGCTCTCTGTCAACAGACCTGACCAACTTGCTTCAATAGCTATTGTGCTCTCTGTCAACAGACCTGACCAACTTGCTTCAATAGCTATTGTGCTCTCTGTCAACAGACCTGACCAACTTGCTTCAATAGCTATTGTGCTCTCTGTCAACAGACCTGACCAACTTGCTTCAATAGCTATTGTGCTCTCTGTCAACAGACCTGACCAACTTGCTTCAATAGCTATTGTGCTCTCTGTCAACAGACCTGACCAACTTGCTTCAATAGCTATTGTGCTCTCTGTCAACAGACCTGACCAACTTGCTTCAATAGCTATTGTGCTCTCTGTCAACAGACCTGACCAACTTGCTTCAATAGCTATTGTGCTCTCTGTCAACAGACCTGACCAACTTGCTTCAATAGTGATAGGAACTGCTTCTGTATAAGCCTCATCTAGAACCATTTGCATGTTACATAATGAACAGAGAAAAGATCAGAGATTTACGGCGCTTTGCAGTATTCACTTGGAGACATATAACTGCTTGTTGTGAATTGTGTTTTAGGAACATATTAAATAGGTCAATAAATATCCTTTATTATCACTAAAGCCCAGTGTTGCATATGTGCAACATTTCTTAAATTGGGGTCAATGAGTGCAATAATCCAAAATAAATGCAAAAAGTATATTTATAGACCCGAAATGTTCCGATAACAGTCCTGGAATTTTTTTTTTTTTTTTTTTTTTGACAGCGTTTTGGTTCCCTGGGCTTTGCAGGGCTAGAGCCAATACAAAAACACGCAAAGTGTGGGTTGGATATCAGCAAGCCTATTTTGAACAGAGGCGAGCTGCATGTCTGCCTAAGACTGTGGGCAGAGAGGGGGGGGGGGATTAGCTCCCTCAGAAATTTTGATATCAAATATCATTGATATGCTTAAAGATATATCGAAGAATTATAGATAAAATGGGACAGTTGTCATAACTCAAAAAGCAAATTTTTAAAGTTTATGTAATTATGTGGTAATAGCTGAAGTCTCAGATTGAAGTCATAAAGAATGCTTGTTTAGTTCACTCTATTTATGAATCACCAACTGTTTCCAAGTAATTTAGATACGTTTTGACCACCAATATCGTATGGTCATTATTGGCTCTGATTTATGACTAGTCTTCTGATTTCTAACCATTCATCTAGCTATTGGTTATCTGATGTCCATCAGTTTATTACTATAGGAAATGATGTTCTTCCGGTGGTCAATTGACCAACTGAGTTCTAAATCTACTCCCGCACAAATTAAAAGTATAAGAAGTAACATGCTGGTTACCAAGAATCATATTGTTGCTAGCTCTTGCACTGATACTAGCAGATGAGTACAGAGTGACTCGCTCGAAGCAGCAGTAAAGAGTTGATTTGCAGTTTGGTTGAATAAAGCTGTTCTCCCTCTCTCCCAAGCTGGTGTTCTGCCTCTTGCTTTCGCCAAGCGCAAGAAAGCACACGTGACCAGTTTTATATATACTCGTGGTTTTTAAACCCTCATAATAATGTCTCAATTCTTCAAACTTAGTGATGATATCATGGGCACTGTATGGCAAAGCAAACAGGGGGTTGCCTAGATTGTCTTCAGCGAATTGCATTTATTAAACAAGATTCGACTGTTGAGAGAGGCATAGCAAGATTTCCAACAGATTGTACCTGTTGTTCAAGCTGCTATGACAGAAGACACTGAAACAGACCAGCAGGTGGGAGAAAACCATGGCATTTGAGTGATGTACATTGTTTACCAACCAGTAAGTCAAGCTTATGCTCCAATATATACGATGTAACACTTGATAAAAGTACATGGGAGGCATTGCTGACCAAAGAACCTGAAATAAATGAGGCATTGGGCGTAATCCCTCCGACATCGACCAGTCAAAAATGGGCGACGATAAAATGGTCGGGGCAGAGAATGACATAGAAGCAGACGTAGCGTTAGTTTGTCTCATCTATGAAGTTCATTGTAAAAGAATTACTGGCCATGCCACGATGGTTCTGCACTGGATGTATAGCCGATCACGGACCCCAAAAGCATCACATGGATGGATGCATGGCAGACTGGGCGGTTTCGGTACACATCTACTTCACCAGGGCAAAAGCTGCTGTGAGCCATGGGGCAATACAGAAGGCCTACAAACTGGTGAAGCAAAAATTGAATCAGCCAGAAAATCCGTATATCCTTTCCATCATCATGACTGCTGCGTTGCTGGAAGATTTTCGCAAAGATGTGGAAGATCCAAACCATGTGTTAGTCCCTGACACTGTCCTTGCAAGATTTGCCTACGATGAGTGTGAGACAGTCTGTGTCAAACGCAACCCACAATGAACACTGGACAGTAAAGGACAATTAGCATTGTGGATGTGAACTGAATAAAAATTAAGATTTGCATTAAGATAATGTATGTAAAGATGTACAACAGAAAAAGACATTTGATTGGATAAAGTAATTGTATCACAATATAAGAAGAAGCTTGACTGGTTAAAATAATAACATTATAATATAAGAATTAGTTTGATTGGTTGAAATACAAGATACATTATCAATATGAAAGCAAATAAAATAATAAGACTGAAGTGCTTTTTTATAATGATTTGATTATCTAGAATTGATGATGGACATCTAAAATCAGATGCAGGGGTGGGGGATAAGGTCGAGCATGCCTTGTGCAAAAGAAGAAGGTTGCACTCTGAGCTTTCTTAATTGGCCATGCAAATTACTAGTCAATCCAATACCCTTAGAAGTAGAAGGAGAAAAAGAGATATGTCCGATCACTGGTTATTTTTAACGAATCTTGTACTGGATAACCTAGCAGATATTAGAGAAAAATGTTTTAGTGGATTTACTTTTGCAGTGCCAATAGAGCATGCAGTTTTTGACAGTATTTTCTCTGAGATAACGGCTGGATTTCAAGGTCACGATTTAATCAGGGAAGTCCTTCAGAGTGACACTTTAGAACACCCTGTGTCCACTCCCTTTGTGGGCGTGTCAGAATTATCAGCAGACCTATTTTTGGCTGCATTGATGTGTGTGTTGCAAAGTCACGGAGATTTCAGGTTAGACAGCAAAGTGATATTAAGTATATGTCACATAGCTATGTCACAACCAGGCCTCGTCTCCTGTAACAGACGTAGAGGTTCTATGGAGGTGCATTCGTTCTTGAAAAAAAAAAAAATCGGTCAACCATTCGTAATAGTGATGAACTTTGTCTAGCTAGGGGATTAGCTGTTGTTATAGCAGCATGATCACCTCCATCAAAGGTTTCATGTCGCGTTTGTATTATTGCGTCTCCTGTAATGTAGGGTACGAGAGCATAACCGATCATCTTTGTGCAAACAAATGCAGGTATTGTAGAAAGGGCACCGATTGTGTTTTTGAAAATTGGACGCGCAGTGAAGACTGCAACAGGGCTTTTCTTTCCCACGCATGTTTTGAGTATCATAAACATGTGGAGAATGGGAAGTCAACCTGCAACACTTTTTTTTTACTTGCAAGAAGTGCAGCAAATTTGTGGTTAAAACTGAAGAAGATCACATTTGCTTCACATATAGTTGCACTATGTGCAAAGCATGTGTAAAACAAGGACACTTGTGCCACATGCAACCCTTGCAAAGTAAAAATGATCCTGCACAAGGTGAATCTAGCACCTCTAGATCTGCAAAGAAAAAGAGAAAAGTCGATAAAACCATGCCCTACATATTCTTTGATTTTGAAGCAATGCAAAAAGGGAATGGCGATCATAAGGCAAATTTAGTGGTCGCACACAAGATGTGTAAGCATTGTATCGATAGGGAGGTCACGCCCACAAGCGAATGTGCGGCATCAGTCTAAATTACACCACCTCACAAATAGTTAACTTTGAAACTTTGAAGAACATGGTGCACAAAGAAGGCCAAGAAAAAGTAACTGTGACGAATCATAAGGTGTAACGTTACAACTAAGGACCTCACTTCAAAGTTAGAAGAAAAGACCTATAGAATGGTCTACACAAAGAGAGCTTTAATGCCAGACAGCATTCACACACTTCCATATGGTTACTAAGCGGAGAACGATATAGAAGCAGACGTAGCGTTAGTTCATCTCATCTATGAAGTTCATTGTGAAAGAATTACTGGCCATGCAACTATGGTTCTGCACTGGATGTAGAGCCGATCACGGACCCCAAAAGCATCACATGGATGGATGCATGGCAGACTGGGCGGTTTCTGTACACATCTACTTCACCAGGGCAAAAGCTGCTGTGAGCCATGGGGCAATACTGAAGGCCTACAAACTGGTGAAGCAAAAATTGAATCAGCCAGAAAATCCGTATATCCTTTCCATCATCATGACAGCTGCGTTGCTGGAAGATTTTCGCAAAGATGTGGAAGATC